GACATGACTCCAGAAGCAAAGCGATGCCTGGAGATGATCCGGAATCATTCTTGAAGGCCTGTCTTTTTCTTGTTTTTCCTTGAGGGGGGGGGGGAGGGGGTGGTCCTGTGATACATGATAAACACTAATGCAAGATCCCTTGCAGGTGTGCTCGAGTTGACGAAGATCGCCCTCCACACACTTTCGATCTGACATCTGCTGAGATCAAAGATCTCCGAAGATGGAAGATGCTGAGAGCCACCAAGGCAGTTGAGATGCTGAGTGGACTACGGTCTTCGATGACTAAGCAGTCGCTCGCCTCTGTTGCGGGTCTGAAGAAGTGAATGTGAAGAGGACAGGAAACATTGCAATAATTAGCAGACCGATTGACAGAAGCAGGACTAGTGTGAATACTCAGAAGTTTGTTGAAGAGTTTTGGTCTCCAGTAGCTAGCAGCCTAGGTAAATGTGTTGAGTCTTTCCCAAAGGAATAGACACGTTCTCCATTCAGAAGGTCCACCCTGAGCAAACTCCAGTTTCACGGGACATTGCACACCTGCTGGAAGCAAATCATGAAGGAAGAAGACTACTGCATGTGCATGTCAACACTTGTGCAGCAAAGCATGAAGCCTCGTTTTGAACTATATGTTTGCTTTGTCGGCTCAAGCTCAGGGCACGTGTATGGTAAGGAAGAAAACCACCGGACACAGTTTTTGCCCTTGCAAGATGGTTGCAGAGGACATCTTGCTGCATACCTGCAGGATTTCTTAGAAATCTGCGGCTTTCAGGATGGCTCAAGATCACGGTCACGATCGCCACGTTACGAGTGGCGTTGGTGCTGGAAATCCGTGTGGATCGGAGATAGACAGCGACTGTGATGCATTTTATTTTAGAATTGCACGTGCATGAAATCTGTTATTAAACCAAGGATCTGGTACTGGATCTGGTGGCGACACCGGACATCCTCCTGAAGACCACTGATCCGAGCTAGCAGCTAGCAACACGGATGCTCGAGCAACCTTAATTCGACTGTTTCCGTGGGGCAACCCCTCGGACTCCATCAGAGAATCTGCACATGAGCAGAAAAGGAAGCTACTAGATCGCTAGTGCTTGGACCGCCAGGGTAGATTGTACTGTTGCATGCTTGCAGGATATCTTAGAGTATGCTCACAGTCTATAGCTCTGAACAGCTGAAGGTGCTGTTGGCCTGCAGCTCCGAGTCATGCATTTCATCTCTGAATGATTGAGTGGTGCCTAAACCTTCTGGAGGTGCAGGCAGGATGAGGCCAGTACATATAACAAGTCACTCTTTCCTTCATTGCCATGATTCAGTTTTGGGCTTGCAGCAGGCAGCAGTAGTTTTACTTTAGCCTGGGGCCTTGTGGTGATGTCGAATGGTTTGGGTTCCAAAGACGGCCCTGCAGCAGAAAAGCTGCCAGGGCAAGCTTCAACAGCTGCAGCAGAGGGAGAAGCCGACCCAGTGCTGAAGCTAAAGAGGGGAATGAGGAAGTTCTTCGAGCAGCAAGGTGAAAGCCGCGAGGCCAGCTACAGCCTCAGTCGTGCCGAGGCCCTTGACCTAGTGAAAGCCGTCCACGAGGATCGCAAGAGAAGTGTGAACGGTGAGAAGCAAAAAGAGATGCTCGAAAGATCCCTCAAGAAAGCCCGTCAAGAGATCCAGAGCCTTGAGGCAGAGGTCGCCAACAAGGACAAGACGATAATGGCCCTCCAGGATGAAAACCGAACCCTGTGGCAGGAAAAGACATTTCACAGCCGCAAGATTTGCAACCTGAAGAACATGGTCAGGGAAACACACGAGTCGGTCATGGGCATCAACAATATCGTTCAATCCTTTGCAGCCTCAGTCGCGGCAACAGACCCGAATGAGGAGGACACACAGACCGATTGAATTGCCTGTCGGTCTGTGGCGATTGCAAAGCACAAGCATCCAGCAAGGTGAAAACAAGGAGCTGTGCAAAGCCGTGAGCAGTAGTATCTGTGTCGTTTTTTCTGACTTCAGGGTTTGGCTTTCCGTGTTCATGTTTTTGAAGTCCTGAAAGCATAACCTAAACATATCAAAACCCTAAACCCTAAACCCTATATCCTAAACCCTAACCCTAAACCCTTAACCCTAAACCCTTCGTGCATGCCAAAACTCGCAGCCATGTTTCACAGCGGTGCCATGGAGAAGCTGCTCTCCTTGGAGCCGGCACAATCCAAGCAGTTGGCCAACGAGGAGCTCGCCAACGAGAACGGGGTGGTCCTCGGCTTCCGTGTGAAGGGCAGGGTGACGAAGCTGTGCAAGTTGCCCAAGGACAACAAGGCGATGGTTCCTGGAGGACTGCTTTGAGAAAGAGTCCTTCCGGCGCGGACAACGACGAGGACATCAACCTGGACTGGTTGAACCTGGTGCTGAGATCAGCTTTGTCCTGCACCGCCAGTGCCCAAGGACCCAGGACAGCTTTGAGAACGTCCTCGACCAGCAGTAACATAAACCCTCTGCTTTCAAGTCGTGGAACAATGCGGCTCGGGCCAGCTGGTAGTATCAACAGATGATTACAGCTTACCCAAAGCTCAGCCCTGGCAGTATCTAACGAGACTTCTTCCAGTGGCAAAACTGGCAGACTTGTTTCGCAGCGGTGCCTTGGAGAAGCTGCTCTCCTTGGAGGCGGTGCAATCCAAACAGTTGGCCAACGAGGAGCTCGCCAACGAGAACGGTGAGGACCTCGGCTTCCGTGTGAAGGGCAGGGTGACGAAGCTGTGGCAGTTGCCCAAGGACAACAAGGCGATGGTTCCTGGAGGACTGCTTTGAGAAAGAGTCCTTCCGGACAACGAGGAGGACATCAACCTGGACTGGTTGAACCTGGTGCTGAGCTCAGCTTTGTCCTGCACATGTCCCCCAAAGAGTCCACGCCGCCAGTGCCCAAGGACCCAGAACCGCTTTGAGAACGTCCTCGGCCAGCAGTAAAATAAACCCTCTGCTTTCAAGTCGTGGTACAATGCGGCTCGGGCCAGCTGGTAGCATCAACAGATGCTTACAGCTTACCCAAAGCTGAGCCCTGACAGTATCTCAAGAGATTTCTTCCAGTGGCAAAACTGGCAGACTTGTTTCGCAGCGGTGCACATAACATGTTTATCGATTTTTTTCAAAGGAAGTTTGGCCTGCAAATGAAAACACAAGTAACATGTGGTGCCGAAATAAGATAATAAAAGTATGACTTGGTCAAGGTGAAACTGGAAACACGAAAAAAGCTTTGATTGTGTCTGCTTTTTCCTTTCCTTACCCATGCTGTGAAGTGGCTTGAAGACAGGGGTACGAAGATAGAAGTACTTCATATGTACGAATGTTATTATACCTGTTGCTTGCTAAACCCTGGTGATACCCAACAGACTAATTTAGATTGGTTTTTGAGCCGTGGTGAAGTAGTTTTGCAAGTATGACTTTCCGGGTGCCAAAATGACCGAACGTCGTATTCCTCATCCCGTCGTGTTCCTCGTCGCTTTTGCGCCCCGGGGGCGGAGCTCAACACACTGCAGGTCACCCTGCAATCAGCCAT